CGTGCACGACGCAGCCCTGATCAAGGCAACATGGCGCACTCCCGAGGCCCGCATAGTCCGTTCGGCTTCAATTGTTGCGTCCAGCGAAATGGAACAGACGTGCACGACACATCTCGACGCAGCCAGGGCATCACACTCCTGAACAAATCGAACATTGCACGACAAAGCCCGGATACGTCCAACATTCGCACGACAAACCTTGAAACACAAATGAAGTACATGACCGAACCCTGAACCAATGGAGCTTTCCACGGCAGCGTCCAAAGACTGCCAATACTTAAACGACAATCCTTGTACGAATCTCTCATGTAGGTTCCTCCCGTTTCCGTCCTCAGTTCTAACCATGGAAATCCAAACCGTTCCGTTCTGGCGGTGGAAGTCCCGCTCTGGGCCCTTAAAGCTGAAAGTCCTGTACCGTGCCCTTAGATAGGTAACCATCTGTGGCGTGGACTATTCAAGTCTCCTGTCCCCCCCCAGCTGACCCGCCAGTCAGCCAGCCAGCAACCGGCCAATCGACCTCCCAAACAGCCATCCAGACAGCGTGCCAACCAGCCGAGCTGCCGCCCTGCCAACAGACCAGCCGAGCAATCAACTCAACCGGCCAGAGCAGCCCTATGCACACAACCACAGCGAAGCGGGGGTGGGGTGGGGGGGTGGGGGGACGGCAGAGAAGCGTAGCCCTCCAGATGAAGAAGTACACGAATATGATGTAGAGCAGGAACAACACTTTCCACGTCGCGTTTCCGATCCTGTCCAGAGGCTCTGTGACCTCGACCCAGCTGATGCCCCCCGAGACAGCCATCCAAAGACTCAACATTGACCGAACTAGGTCCCCGTAGTACGCCATTAGGAGCTCATCGTCGCTTTGCTGGTCACCTTGAGTGTGCTCTGTCACAGCTTGTGTCAAGACGACTCCGAATGCGTATACGATCATCAGGAGCAACATGAGTGCCCAAAACACCGATCTGCCGGCGCAAACGATAGAATGCACTAGCATTCGCAATGGTTTTAGCTGGCGGAATGTTCGGACCAGGCGAAGCAGCCGACTCAGGCGAAAGAGACGCAGAATCTTTGCAGTTCCGCCCTTTTCTAAGGGATTACGCCCCCCGCCCGAAAGCGAGCGCACAACAAGTTCCAGAGCAACCTCGGCGATTGCCAGGAGCAATATTATCAAATCGAAGCAGTTCCACATCCTCTCCTCCACGAAGAAATCGAGCCTGAAAACGTATATCCGTGCGACCATTTCCAATGTGAACAGGAGAGTGAATGCGTAATTCGCTGCCGACAGGACCGCCAGCATCTGCTCCGAGCCCGAGCCTTTGTTGGACAGGCTGGCCAGAACCTGGGTCTCGATGCCGATCAGCAGTATGCTCAGGATGACCAGACAGGCGATCGCAACAGCGAAATGGCGGCTTCTCACCAGCCCCGCCAGAGGCCTCGGATCCGCCGCCCGCGAGTTCGCGGAGCCTCTCAAGTACATAACGGTCTTCCTCACGGCCCTCTCGAATTTGGACCTGGGGAAGACGCGAAGGACCGACACCGCTACTCCCAGGACCTCTCCCAGGGTGCGCTCTGCCCAGAATCTTGGAGGCGAAGCCAGCCGTGGCCACGGGGGCCTCGCAGGAGGCCTCGACGGGCGAAGCGAGGCCAGGATGGCGGCATCTGTAGCTTCTGCATCCTCTGGTGACCTCTCCTCGTTCGAGGCGGACTCCCAGAAGCTAGACCTGCCCGAGTCGCTAGGCGCGCCCGAGAAGAGGCTGCTCGCGGAGGCCTTCAGCCTGTCGAGCCTCTTGGCGGTGGCGTGCCTGCTGAAGCCGAGGGCCCCGGTGCCGGAGCCCTGCTGGGACACCGAGAGGGTGTCCTACAGAGAGATTGTTTGGTCTCATTGCCGGCGGCGGTCGTTACCCGGGAGGAGGGAGGGACCTGGGGCCATGGGTACAGCAGTAGCGCTTGGGCGGGGTGGGGCATGTTGGGGCGGAGTGTGCGCTGCGATCGCCATCGTCCCGGGGAGAGGGGCTTGGCCTTGGCAACGGCCGTCACGCGCCAGAGGATAGAACCAACACAATCTCTATAGGCGGAGCACAAACTGCAGAAACATACGTTTCCGACGGTCCGCGCGGACTGCTTGGATCTGCGCTGTACCCCTCCCTGGCGCACGGAGCACGCCAGGGGCGGCGGAGGCGCCGCGAGGGGTGCCTGGCGCCGATGAGCTTATGCATGTGTTTCTTCTTCGCGTCCCTGCGGGGCGGGGACTTGTCCCTCACCGGGGCCCAAGGGATCCACCCTTCGGGGACCTCGGCGGGCAGTGGACATGCGTGGACATGGCTGGTCCTCCCCCTGGGCGCGAGCATATCCGTACATCGCACGCCGAGGACCTCGAATATCGGCCCACCCCGGGGCGTTGGAGCAGGACACGAGAGAAGCGCGTTCCACTACTCGCAAAAGTAACTACTCGCAGATAGCCTGAATCCGCCGCGGGGGATTTACGCTCCATTACATTGAGGAAGACATGTCTTTGTCTGACGTTTGCGAGTAGGCACTCTGCGAGTGGTGGAACGCGCTCGGTGAGTGACACTAATCCCCCGCCCGCCGGAATCCTGCGAGCGCAGCGACGGCACCGTGCCTATGCCGGCACCGAGCAAGCCACTCTCGCTGCTGGGCGTCCTCGCCCACCCTGCTGGCGGGCAGCTCGGGGCTCCCGGCGGCCCGGCGCCCTTGCCGCCGCCGCCGTCCGGGCCGCCCGGCGCCCCGTGCTCAGCGGGCTCGGGCCAGAGGCCAGGCGGCGGGTCCTCCGCGAGCGGGGGCGCCGGCTGCCAGGCCCGGCTCGCGCGGTCCAGCGAGCTCGACCGGCTGGTGCCGTGGCGGGCCGGGGCGGCCGCCGCGTGGAGGCTCTCGTACTCCGCGGCGAGCTCGAGGAGCCGCCGCCGGAAGAGGCCCGGCTGCATGGCGGGCACACCGGGGGCATCCCGGAGCCAAGGTGGCTCGAGCCCAGATGGCAGCAGAGATGCAGGCCAGCAGGAGTTCCTATCTCAAGCTATCCACATGGGCGCTGATGGCCCCTCGTATGCAGGTGCCGTGAATGCCATGCGTTTTTCCCAACCATCCTGTGGTGTTGGGTTCTCGCTTCGAAAGGACAGTGCCCCGCGTCTCCTCTCCCCTCCTCATCCTCCTTCCTCCTCCTGCTGCTCCTCCTCCTCCTCCTCCTCCTCCTCCTCCTCCTCCTCCTCCCTCCTCCTCCTCCTCCCCTCCTCCTCCTCCTCCTCCTCCTCCTCCTCCTCTCCTCCTCCTCCTCCTCCTCCTCCTCCTCCTCCTCCTCCCCTCCTCCTCCTCCTCCTCCTCCTCTCTCCTCCTCCTCCTCCTCCTCGTCCTCCTCCTCCTCCTCCTCCCCTCCTCCTCCTCCTCCTCCTCCTCCTCCTCCTCACCTCCTCCTCCTCCTCCTCCTCCTCCTCCCCCTCCTCCTCCCCCTCCTCCTCCTCCTCCTCCTCCTCCTCCTCCTCCTCCTCCTCCTCCTCCTCCTTCCTCCTCCTCCTCCCTCCTCCTCCTCCTCCTCCCTCCTCCTCCTCCTCCTCCTCCTCCTCCTCCTCCTCCTCCTCCTCCTCCTCCTCCTCCTCCTCCTCCTCCTCCTCCTCCTCCTCCTCCTCCTCCTCCTCCCTCCTCCCTCCGCCCATCCCTGTCTCTGCCCTGGGCACATCCCTTGGACGTCTCGTGGCCCCGCAGGGAGCGCCCGCGAGCGCCCCAGTGGGAGAACCCAAATTCGGCCTCCCGCCCATGTCGGCACACACAGGAGACGCCACCGAAAGCCCCAGTGGGAGGGTCCACATGCGGCTCAGCTCCCCGCCCATTTCGGCACACCCCTCACACGTCTCATGGACCCATTGGGAGCGCAACCGAAGGCGATTCTCACGACCGGGTTATCCACAGCTGTATCTGATTGGGTCCTTTTGCGAAGATAGCTCGTAGATGTAACGTGTTGCTGTTGCGCGGGCGATGGGACAACACAATGCCTCGACAATCAGGACGTCACCGAGACGGTGCGTGAGAATCGTGGCATGCTTCGAACACCAGGATGGATTGCCAGTAGCTTCGCGTCGCCACATGCATTGCCAGTGCACTGGCGATTTCTCAAGCGGCCGTCTGAGAAGCATCTGGAAAACCGCAAGGCCTCCCCGAAGGAACCTGACAGCGGTCCCCAAGCCGACTTCTTCATTTTCCCCTGAGCGGGCCCGCGCGGAGCTGCCGACCCCACCCCGAATACCGATCTCTCCACGCACGTCGCACAAAGAAGCTGGACATACACATAGATCGAATCTCATGCGGAACACCCGGAGGCCTCGCGCCTGAAACGCGCGCGAGAACCAGGCGTATACCCGTCCATGGAAGGGGTCGAGCGCCGATCGCGTCGCGTGTGTCCAGCTTCCTGGCAATGCTTGGGGAGTCCTGGGGCCCGCGCGCGACGCCTGGACTCCGAGGTCGTTAACGAGGAACCCGTCGAGCTTTGCTCGCGACGCCAGATGTCCTGGCGACGCATCCGGCAGCGGTCCACCGCTCGTCCCTCGGAGCACCGTGAGCCCCCAGAGGCCCCACTTGCTCGGCGCGGGGAGCCCCCCCTGTGTGTGTGTCTCTTCGTCTGTGGTCTCATTGACGAGAGCCCGGGCGTGACTGGGTCCGAGTGTGAGCGAGCCCCCGCATGAACGAGCCTGAGAAGGAGCGATTCTGGGTGCGGCTGAGTCTGAGAACCGGTGGGCCTGAGTGTGGGTGTGCCTGTGTACGCGAAGACTCCATGTATGAGCGGATGTGCGAAGGAATGCTTAAGCACTGGTGGACCTGAGCATGGGTTGCGTGTGCAGGGGTCGGAAGATGAGTGAGTCTATGTTTGGGGGGCACGGGGAGCGATGCCTGCCGCACCGCCGTGCTCATGGGGCTCTGAAGTTAGAGGGCCGTCGCCTCCCCCAACAGTCGGGCGCGAGCGGGCCCGTGCCACGGCTCTGGCCGCCCTACTCTCCGCGCCCCCCCTGGGCAGCCCGGGTGCGATGTCTGCTGCACAGTCGCGGAGGGGCCATGGGGGATCGGACTTAAGATGACTACCTAGCAGACCACCCCAACCCAACCCGAAGACCCGAATTTCGGGTTGGGGGGGGTATGGGTTCCATTTGTGTTTTTTCAGTGTTCCCCGACACCCCCCCCCCACTGGAAATGGAGGGCACATTGAGGCCTTCGGGTTGGGTTGGGGTGGTTTGCTGGGTGGTTGAGAAGAGAAGCGCGCCGCCTCCCCTCCGCCCCGAAGCAGGCTTTTTTTTTTACCCGACGTTCCACCGACATTTCAGTCTGCAGGAGCATCGGGTCAAGGGGGGGTGTGAGAATCAGCTCACATAGCTGATTTTCCTGGCGCCTCCCAGCGCTGGAGGCGCCCATGTATCGAGGAACGGGGCCCCTCGGTGGGGCCGAAACCAGCTGCATGCAGCAGATTTCGTACCCCCCCCCCTTTCCCAACCCCCTTTCGTCCGGCCCGAAGGAGCAGAAGCTCTCAGCGACCACCCGGCGATGGGAACCACGTGCGGGCCTTGGACCTCGTGCCCGAGCTGTCCTGCCAAAGGCCCGAGCAGGGGGGCGGCACCGTGGCACGCTCCCCGGTCGCCCCCGCCCCCCCCCCCGCCCGCCGCCCGCCTCTGGGGGAGCCCCGCGCGCCCGGCGCCTGCTGCATCTCGCAGCGGTCGGGGTGCCGAAGAGCTCCTCCTCCTCCTCCTCCTCCTCCTCCTCCTCCTCCTCCTCCTCCTCCTCCTCCTCCTCCTCCTCCTCCTCCTCCCCATCCTCCTCCTCCTCCTCCTCCTCCTCCTCCTCCTCCTCCTCCTCCTCCTCCCCTCCTCCTCCTCCTCCTCCTCCTCCTCCTCCTCCCCCTCCTCTTCCTCCTCCTCCCCCTCCCCTCCTCCTCCTCCTCCTCCTCCTCCTGCTGCTCCTCTGCTGCTGCTCCTCCTGCTGCTCCTCCTGCCTCCTCCTCCTCTCCTCCTCCTCCTCCTCCTCCTCCTCCTCCTCCTCCTCCTCCTCCTCCCCCTCCTCTTCCTCCTCCTCCTCCCCCTCCTCCTCCTCCTCCTCCTCCTCCTCCTCCTCGTCCCGCGTGCCCGTGCCTGCTGCATCGCAGCGGTCGGGGTGCCGAAGGGCTCCGAGCACGACTGGGTCACGGCGCGAGCGGCTGGGGCCGCAGGCGTGGACCTGAGCACAGGGGAGCCTGGCGCGGCTGCACGGCTCTCTTGCCATCGCTCGGGCGTCCGTTTCCCGTGCATTTTTTTGGGTGTCGTGCGTGTTTTTTTGGCTCGATGGTCCAGGACGGTCCTCGATGGTCCTTGCCGAGGAAACAATGCACACGTCCGAGCGATGCCAAGGGCTCTGCGTGGGTATGGTCACGGCCGACACCGTGCGGGTACGCCCGTCGGAGCGCGAGCGAGGGCCTGAGCGAGGCTGAGAGTGAGGCCGAGTGCGAGTGGGCCCGAGTGCGGGCGAGTCTGGGCACGAGCGGGTCAGAGCATGAGCGATCCTTGATACGCGTGGGGTGAGCGGCTTCCTAGACGGCGGAAGGACATGCGGGGCGAGGGTGGCCAGCGAAAGCGATCGTCTGGGCGGCGGGGAGGAGGTCGGAGACGGCGACCTCGAGCGGTGAAACCCGAGGGCCGCTTCGTCCAGCGCCAGCCGCCGCCCCCGCCAACCAGCCGCAACGGGGGGGCGGCTGTGCACCCCACTTGCATCGGGGGAACCCAACGAGGCCGATGGGCCCCCCAGGGGGGATACGCGGACCCCATCTCCCCCTGGTTGCGGCTGCTCTGCCTTGACAGATCTCATGGGGGAGGAGAAGGCTGCGTCGATGGACACTCCGCTGGGTGAGGTCCCTCGTGGCGAGCCTCGAAAAGAGCGGACCCGCCCAGCCACGTATGTACTCGAACGCGGCCCCTCACAGTTCGCAAGGCCGTCCTCATGCTACGACCGCTCGCGTAATGCGTTCCCTCGCAGCGCATGCCTGTGTCGCTCCTGATGCAGGGAAGGAGAAAGGAGGCGATGGTGGGCGGGCGCGAGACAGGGTGCGGAGTAGGGAACTGGGGACGAGGGAGGCGGGACGCGCGTGCTCCGTTTCTGGCACACCGCGCGCCGTAACATTGATCCCCCTGCCTGCGCAACCGCTCCGAAGCACACGACCCGGCGCGCCTGAGATGGGGACGGCGCTGGAGCAAGAAGGACGATGCCGACGGCGGGGGCGGTGCCGGTAGCAAGGACGACTCCGGCCCGAGGGGGTTCCCACCAGCGGGGCCGCCAGCTCCTCTTGTGGATGGAGGTTCGAGGGCAGAGGATCGATGAGGTTTTGGAGCAGTCTCGGGCGTTTTGGGCGGTTCGGCGGGGTGTGTGGAAACCCGAGGGAACCACACCGACGGCGACGACGACGACGACGACGGCTCCCTCGAGCGCTCCCAGGGAGCCACACGACGACGGCCACGACGACGACGACGAGGCCCCCCTCGGAGCGACTCCCCCGGTGCCGAACCCCTCGCGGTCGACGAAGGTCCGCACGGACAAGACCCTGGACCCTCTTGGCAGAGGCACCCAGGCCCTTCTCCTCGAGCTGCGTCGAGCCCCTTGGCGACGAGGGGGCGTCGGAAGGCAAAAGACGAGGAGGAGGAGGAGGAGGAGGAGGAGGAGGAGGAGGAGGAGGAGGAGGAGGAGGAGGAGGAGGAGGAGAAGGAGGAAGCGGGGAAGGGCGGGGAGTCCCCACCCTGGGCGTCCCGAGGCGCCGCGTGTCTGCACACGCGCCGAGCTCATCCCGCCGCAGAGGGCCCCCGCCACGCTCCTCAGTCGGTGCGCTGCCGCTTGGCCTCGCTCTCGCCTGTCGGGCCGCTCCTCCGCCCGCTGCTGCAGCCTCTCTGGCTGTGCTCCCTCGGCGGCTGCTGCTGCTGCTGCTGCTCTTCCAGTTCCTCTTCCTGTTGCTGCTGCTCCAGCTCCTCCTCCTCTTTCCCTCCTCCTTCCCTTCTCTCCTTCCTGCTCCCTTCCTCCCCTCCTCCAACTCCTCCCGCTCGTCCTCCTGCTGGGCCCACCTGGTCCTGCTCTTCCGCTTCATCCTCGTCCTCCTCCTCCTCCTCCTCCTCCTCCTCCTCCGCTTCCTCTTCTCCCCAAATGTCCGACGTTGTGTTTTTTTCCAGCGGACCAACGGTCTCCGGGACTGACTTCATCTAAACAATCTATGTTCGAGGGTCCCGTGGCCCAATAAAAAAACCCTGAAAACCGAACATGGCCAAACACCTTCCGTCTCGACTGCGTCACAGCGACGGGGAATGGGCGTCCTCCTCTCTCCCCACCTTTGTCATGGCCTGCGAGCGGCTCCGCGCCTTGCGCGCCCCCGGCACTTGATCCCATCATGGGATCGCTCCGCGGACACCCAAGCTCCAAGTTGCAAGCTCTACCTTGGCCATCTCAGCCTCCCTCCTCCGCGGGCCCCGCACGACCCCCTCTCCTCCCCCGCGCCTCCAGGCCGCCGCGGCGGGGGAGGCCGGCCATCGCTCGGACATCCATATTCCCTGCGCTTTTTTTGGTTTCGTGCGAAGCTTTTTCGCAGGATGATCCAGGATCCTGCAAGATCCGGCGCTCTGACGGGACCCCCCGCTGGCATGGAACCCCGTCTCTTGAGCCCCGATGCTTGGCCGCAGTTCGGCCTCCGGGAGCCCTCGCCGGGCCGGGCCCCCGGGCCCGTTCACAGAACGGGTCGGAGTGAAAAACAAGCTTGTGCTGTCGATTCTTACGTCGTATATCCGCATCTGTATATGTAGATAAAAAGGATCCCCAACGAGAAAAAGTGCACACGTCCGAGCGATGCCAAGGAGGGGGGATTAGGGGGGGGGGCGGTGGAGGGAGGCCGCGCGCGCGGCGCCTTCGTCCGTGGCCGCCGTCGGGGCTGCTCCTGCACGGGATGCTCGGGTGGGGGAGGAGGAGGAGGAGGAGGAGGAGGAGGAGGAGGAGGAGGTGAGAGGAGGAGGAGGAGGGAGGAGGGAGGAGGAGAGGAGGAGAGGAGGGAGGAGAAGGGGGAGGAAGGAGGAGGAGGAGGGAGGAGGGGGAGGAAGAGGAGGGGGAGGAGGAGGAGGAGGAGGAGGAGGAGGAGGAGGAGGAGGAGGAGAGGAGGAGGAGGAGGAGGAGGAGGAGGAGGAGGAGGAGGGGAGGAAGGGGAGGAAGGGGGGGAGTAAGAGGAAGGGGGAGGGGAGGAAGGATTAGGAGGAGGAGGAGGAGGAGGAGGAGGGATGGGTCGTCTCTTGTGGATCGGCGGCGCGCCGGCGGGGGGAAGCAACTGCCCAGGGTATTGTGATACGGTGTGGGCATTGGATGAGGAACCCTCGGATAAGGAATCCAGGGTCTGGAAGCCAGTGGAACTTGTTTTTTATACCAAATCCTTGCATTTTCAATACATGGTCCGCACGCGGAGCTTGTACTAAAAACGGCACTGTACGATGAGGGGCCCAGAGACACCAACACCAAAAGATTTGTTTGACATCCACGGCCAAGAGCCCACACAGAAGGGGCACAAAATGAAGGAGAGAGCTGCACGACCACAGGGCCACCACCTCCCACGAGGAGGCAGCCCCTCCCACGAGGAGGCAGCCCCCAGAGGAACCCTAAGATAAGGAATTCAGGGTCTGGAAGCCAGTGGAACTTCAATCGTGGATCGGCCATGGACATCACCGCCGCCCTCATGGGATCAGGAATCCTCCAGACTCTGGCCCCTCCAGTGACTATTCCTTGACAAGCGCCTCCACCGTATTCAGCTTGATGTTACTTCATGCGCTGTGCCCCAGTTTGAATGGAGTTTCAAATTCCAAGAGTATTCGCATGCGATTTATCTTGGTGTTGCGGATACTTTGAAAAGCTTAGTGACCATATTACGCCCGTTTTGAGGATTTCATAACTCAATTATAGCATAAGGATTCTCAAGCTCAGCGTAAACATATGACCTGTATATCAATTCGCAACTATCTTTAACGCCTTTTCGTTCAGACAGTGTCTAGAATACGTACTCGCACGTTGCCAAATGACATGCTTCCAGCCGGTGATTGCATTAATAAGGATTGACCAACACCAGAAGTGCTCGTGACAACAAAGCTAAAGTTACTTGTTCCAGCTCTATAATATGGATGCCAGAAGAATAATTGCCCACTCGTTCCAATCAGAGGTACTCCCACGACACTGCTGTTGTTCTTTCTTTGTTCTGGTAGTGCCCCGACTATATGGACAAATCATTTGCCTGTTGAATTGTTAGTCTTGATTCCTTTGCTGGTGCTCTCAAATCCTAAACTGTTAGCAATGAGCCAATATGTCCAGCTAATAAAGTCTCTTGAATAACGGCCAAGCCTATCTAGTCGCCATACAACACATGTATCGCCAGACCGCGAAGTATGCTCTTTAGCTTCTAACGCTTCTTTTTTAAAAAAACAGAGCCACTGGCTTGTTCTTCTGTACTTCGTATTCACAGCCAGCTTGCTTTAGCGTGTCAATCTGCAATTTTATCATTTGAGTAAAGTGTTGATGTTCGGGCAGGCGTGACCTAATGTCATGAGAAGAAGGCCTCTGAAAGTGAACTAACAATACAATGAGCTGCATGTTCGCCAGCATGGGCCCCAACCAGTAAGCACCAGTAATTGAGTTGTTGCGCTGTGGATGCGTACGCTGTGTTGTGCAAATTCTAAGCGTGCACGCTGCGTGGAGCAAGCTGTGTGGTGCAAGCTACGTTGAAGGGGCCCTGGGACACACAATTAAATACACACAAATCAATGGATTCGCTATATTTTCCTATATTTTCTGGGTTTTTGTGTTCCCCCCCCACTTCCTATATTTTCTTATACTTTCTGGGAATGATTCATTGTGTCTGTGTGTTTCTTCCCCTCCTTATATGTGGTGCAAGCTGCGTGGTGCAAGCTGCGTGGTCTTGGCTGGGCGGTCCAGGCTCGGCGGCGCAGGCAGAGAAGGGCAAGCTGTGTGGTGCGGAGCGTGCGGTGCCATCTGCGGAGGAAGCTCCGGAGCCAGCGGGGTGCAGACGGCCTGCTGCAAACTGTGCGGTTGGAGCACTGCGAGGCAGCCTGTGCTGCCGCCCCGCGCACGAGCCGCCCACGAGGCGCCCGCTCCTGAGATCCGACGTTGCGAAACATTGCAACATCGAAGCAATTTTTGATTCGCGGGTCGAGAGCGCACCTCTTCCGGTCGAAGCTAAGCGGGCCGCGCGAAGCTTGAATTAACAGAGAGGGGGGGACAGAAGGAGAGGCCAATACATCGAAACAATCACGACCGGATCCCAGGAGCCCATCTCTCTGCGCCACTCTTCGTGCGGGAGCGGTCTCACTCTGAGGCTCCCGGGGCCCGAAAAGCGGGGCGAACAAAAAAAGCCCCGCCGGGAGACAGCTTGCAACGCCACAGGACCTCCGGCATGGGCGCGGGCGCCGGGCCCACCCTCGGCGCGCCCACCCCGCGCACGAGGCGCCCCCGAGGCGCCCCCGCGGCGGGCGACGCGGGGAGACGTCGGCGCGCCCACCCCGCGCACGAGGCGCCCGCGAGGGGCGCCCCCGAGGCGGGGCGCCACGGGGAGAGTTCGGCGGGGCACCGCGGGCGCACGAGGCGCCCGCGGGGCAGAGGCGCGCGCCCACCGCGGGCGGGGCACCGAGCGCAGGGCGCTCGCGCGCGCGCCCACGGGCGCGCGCCCGCGGGGTAGACCTCGGCAGGTCCATCCCGTTCCTTACAGGGATGTTTAAAACATCGGATTTTTAATCCATGGTTCATGTACGAATGAATTTGTGCATGAACTCCTCGTTGTTTTTAGTACTACATCCTTGCATTTTTCAATACATGATCCGCACGCGGAACACGTATAGAAAACGGCACTGTATGATGAGGGGCCCAGAGACACCAAAAGATTTGTGTTGGCATCCACGGCCAAGAGCCCACACAGCATGGGCCAAACAATTAAGGGGAGAGCTGCACGACCACGGGGCCACCAGCTGTGTGGTGCAACGCGCGCGGTGCCATCCGCGGAGGAAGCTCCGGTGCCAGCTGGGTGCAAGCGGCCTGCTGCAAACTGTGTGGGTAGAGCATTGCGATGCCGCCTGTGCTGCCGCCTAGCGCAGGAGCCGCCCACGAGGCGCCCACTCCTGAGATCCGACGCTGCGAAAAATGGCAACATCGAACAAATCACGACCGAATCCCAGGAGCCCATCTCTCTGCGCCACTTTTCGCGTTATGTTTCTCCCAACGTACTTAAGGACCACATCCCAGAAATAATTTCGAGCACCCGGAAGAGTGTCGAAAGAGTGACGAAAGAGTGCCGAAACAGTGTCGGACGAGTGTCTCCCAGGGCCCGACACGTGAAAACCCTCGAGTTTCGGCACCTTTTTCTGATGCTCGAAATTCTTTCTGGTGATCAAGGCTAAAGTAGGCTGGAACATCGTAATTTTTGAGCGGGATCGGTCTCTGAGGCTCCCGGGGCTCGAGAAGGATTGCAAAAAAAAGGATTGCAAACAAAAAGGTTTGCACAAAAAAGGTTTTTTTTTGCAATCCTTCGAAAAAGGTTTTTTTTGTTGCAATCCTTCGTTCAAAAAAAATTGTTTTTGCAATCCTTCGGTTTTTTTTTGCAATCCTTCGGTTTCTTTTTGCAATCCTTCGGGCGAGAAAAAAAAGGCCCCGCCGGGAGACAGCGTGCAGCGCCCGGGCCTCCGGCATGGGCGCGGGCGCCGGGCCAACACCCTCGGCGCGCCCCCCCCCCGCGCACGAGGCGCCCCCGAGGCGAGCCCCGCGGGGAGAGCTCCGCGGGGAGAGCTCGGCGCGGCGCCCGGCGCACGAGAGGCGCCCGCGGGGCGGCCGCGGG